CCCCGAGCGTCCTGGGCTCCCCACCATTTTGTGCCGTGGTCGCTACGCTAGTTTCCTGCCGGTGCCACAACGCCCCGTGCGCCCGGGCTCGCAGCGGAACCTCTGAAGGGGCTTTGATGGCGGAGAGTCAATCAGCGGCCGGGCTGGGGGACTTCGCATCCCTCGGTGGGGCCGCAAGCGCCGGCTCGGAGCCCGAGACGCGGCGGCTGAGCGAGCTGCGGGTCATCGACCTGCGCGCCGAGCTCAAGCGGCGCAACCTGGACACGGGCGGCAACAAGAGCGTCCTCATGGAGCGGCTGAGGAAGGTGGGGAGCGAGCCCCGCGGGAAGGGGCGGCGGAGGCTCATCCGGGCTCTTTGTCCCCGGCCCGAGCGGCCCCGGCGCATGCGCGACCGCTGAGGTACCGAGCGGGGACCGGGCCGTGGCCGCCCCCGCCGCGCCCCTTTCGCGGGGCTTCAGCAGCCCCCACGCAGCGCGGGCATCGCCGCGAGTGGCCCGCGGAGCCCCCCGGCCTCGCCTCTAAACACGGCGTGGTCCGGCAGCGGGAGGCGCGCGCCTCAGGCTGCCCCGGTGCCCGTAACCCCCGCGAGACCGGCGTGATGTTTCCCTCCCACACATCCTTAAAAGTTCATAGAAGGGAACGCCACCATAGATGTCCTGCTGCTGTCTCCAATAGGCTATTGAGGATGAAGGCGGCGATCCCGATGAAATTCCTGTGGCTGCAGAAGTGACCAACAAGAGACTGCCCAAAAGAGCTAGCAAAGGTACAGAGTACAGATAAATAGAGATTCTCGGTTTGCAAGTAGGTGATTTAAAAAAAAATGTATTTTAATGCATTTTTTCTTTTTTTTTTTTTTTGCCTTCATGGAAAGCTATAGAAGTTGGTCGCATTAGTCAGGGAGCATAAAGCTAACCAATAATATGACACAAGCTTCTAACTTGTTTTTTAACTGAAAGGTKTGTGGGTTTCAAGTGTATTTTTAGTACTCATGACCCTGAGTGCAGAGCAGTGCCAAGCAGAGGCAGCAGCTGCAGTGTAAGCTCCCATGGAAAGTGCTGCCAGTGCACATTAATCCTGATTTGCAGCACCCTGGGTACTAATTTTCTTACCATGACTATATGTGTTTGTTTCCATATATGTTTTGCTTTAAAAAAAGTACTAGAAGTACAGCAAGGGCATTCCATATGATAAGAAAGAGATTTTTGTGCTATCATTATAGGAGCTTTCTTTTAAATAGACGTTTTCCTGGAGAGTGTCATGTTTTCAGGTATTGCAGTGTTGTGGAATGAGAGTGTAGGTGTGACAAAACATAGTTGTTTGCCTAACTGTGCCATTCCTAGTGTACGCTCATGCCATTTACCTTCACTGAATGGTAAATTATCCTCAGTTATCTCCAGATAAAACTGGACTTCTAAACTGGGACATTAATCACTATTTGCTGAAGCAGACAGCCTTGAATAGCTAATTTAGCAAAAAGTGCAGATATTATGAAGTTTAGTATAGATAAAAATTGTTTCTTAGTTCAGTAATCCTGTTTTTAGGCAGAAAACCAGAAGAGGAAGGCATTGAAGACAATGGACTGGAAGAAAACTCCAGAGATGGGCAAGTAAGTGATACCGTGTTTGCAGTTACTAAGCACATGCATCATTGAAACCACAATGAATATAAATATACCCTTTCTCTTTCTATAGGAGGATATTGAAGCAAGCCTGGATACCTTGCAGGATATTGACATGATGGATATTAGTGTGTTAGATGAAGCTGAAATAGATAACGGCAGTGCTGTAGACTGTGGAGAGGACTATAGTCCCGATAACATTCTTGATTCACTGTCAGATCATAAAGACAATACTGATGCAGAAATGAAAGAGCTTCCAGATCAGCTAACAGAAAACGAAGTAAGTGATTCAAAGTCTCTACAATTTTCAGAAAGCAATAAGGGTATAGCCACACAAACAAGTTACTTCTGAGTAATATAGGACATGAATTTAATGTGGATTCAACTTCACATTAATTGCTCTGGTGTCCTACCCTTTAAAAGGTAAGTGTGCTTGAATCCATTGCAGACTTTAACTGTTCATGACTGCAGGGTCATAGCATGCTTTACCTTGTACTAACTTATTCCTCTGCTGTGAAAGTGATGCCATTGTTCTGGAATTGAAGGTAATAGATCTCGTTTCCCATTTACGTGTGTTTTGAAGAATGTATATACACAGAAATCCTTCCAAGTAGGCATTTCTGTATGTGAGGGGAGAGAGACAGATGTTTACCATGCAGAATTAATGTAGACATCGTTATATATGAATATGTGTATTATTTCATTATATACAAATATCATATATGAATATATGTATATATATGAATATATGTGTATAAGAATATATGTGTATTATTTCTCATTCTTGGGTAAAGTTCTAAAGTAGGAAGTTTGATATTTGAGATATTGGAAAATATTTCCTATATTATTCATATGGAAAAAGAATATAATAATATTTCACATTTTTTTCTTCTTCTGTAAGGAATATTCTGATTCCTTTTTTACTCTTTTAGGAAGATAATGATGAAATTGAAAACAATTTAGATGCCTCCTCTTCCGATCTAATTGAAATGAAGGTAAATTGAATGCGTAGCTGTATTTCAGATTAACAGTATTCACTCTGTGCTCATACTGCAAAAGAGCAAATGTGACAAAGTAAGATACTTTACCACTATCAGTACCGTAACTGATCCTACTCAGTTCTACCAAATTAAAAAGTCATTTGTTTGTTTTTTAGTTTGCTATCAAGACTTTCTCCTGCTCTGCCTCAGTTGCAAATAAAAATGTTTTTGCAACAGAATGAAAACCGTGCCCCAAAATAAAGTACTCCAAAAGTATTCTCATATYTCCCTTTCCTTTTGAAAAGGCACGCAATTTTGATTTTTCAAAAATGGTTTCATCTTTCTTTTGCCAGTTATATCTAATAGTACAAAGATGTAACATATTTTGTTGTTTTCATTCTGTAGTTGATGTGATACACAAGTGCTTTATTGCTCCATTTCTTTAACATTCTACATCAGCTACTAGGACACTACTGTCGCTGAAATTTTGATTTGGCTTAAGGTTGAAAAAAAAATTACATATGTGTGTGTATATATAAAAAATACTTCAAATATACTGTGAAAATCGGAATGCATTGTAGTAGGTGAGTTAGTTTGTAGCTTTAAATCTCTTGAGGACATTGGGTGATGGTCAGATTATTCTATTTTTCTATATTGCAATATACATTTACCGAGTCCTGATTCTGTGTTCATTTTCCCATACAGAAAACAGAGAGACTACACTTGGAGCCAGGTACTGTTAAAGAAAAACATATTCCTGTCTTTTCAACTAATACTTTTTAAACCATTAACTATTTGGAAAAAAAAAAAAGAAAAAGAAAAAAAAAAACAAAAAATATGTAATTTGTATTATTTTTATGATGAACAATCCAGATCATGCAGGGTCATAGAGATTGGAAACCCAATCATATCCCCAGATCTGTGAAGTAATGCTTGTCATCTTTGCAATACTTTCAGTGAAATGAAATGGTTTAAAAACCTGTTAAACTATATAAATGAATTTAGAGAAGCTAATCACAGTCTAAAAGCTAAAGATTCTGCTTGTAAACAGATCTTGTGATATTGCATACAGCTTAACTTTATAATTGAGTAGAGAGCAGTGAAAGCAGGAAAAAGATATCATAGGGCATTAAAAGTTAAAGTTTAGTTACTGGATACAGAAGAAAGAAGAGAGTTTCTTCCTGGAAATTCCATACAGATACTTTTCACTTTCTGGACTGCAAACACACTCATGCACCATCAGAAGATGCCCAGTTTTCWTGTTGGACTGTCTGCTAAAAGAATTTCACAGAAATTAGGAAATTGAACTTGCAATGCATTGATATGTTGAGTTAAGCACCTTGGACTTTGGAAGCTGTATAGAGAAGAAACAGCCATGAACGATTTCRTGAAGAATATGAAGGATGATGCGGAAGGTTTTTGTTAAGTCTGTGGGGGCATTTTTCTTCGGTGTAACGTGCTAGGGTTGATGCAGTAGTTTGTCAGCGTGCAGTTAGCRTGGTAGTTTTAAGACTGTGTACAGYAGGGTTTTCCAATCTCTGTGTAGCTTAGCAGTTCTCTTGGTGTTAGTGTGGCAGCCATGCCAGTTCCACATTTGTGATTGCTGTATTTCCCTGGTGATTAAATCTTGTGCCATTCTATTCCTGTTAAATCCGTAGAAAATGAGAAAATACTCGACATTTTGGGGGAAACTTGTAAATCTGAAGTACTTAATGAAGAAACTTCTGAAGTGGAGCAGCCACATGCACAGGAAGGCAGTAACGTGGCGTCAGGCAAGAGGCTCGTAGCCGAGGAAGAGGACGCTCTTGGAGCTGCTCATTTGGAGGAAGATGCTTTAGATTTGGACAGCAAGTCGTCCCAAGCTTTGGCAAGGAAGGAAGCAAAGCGTTTAGTTGTAGCAAAAGGGGAGACAAGTGAACAGACACTAGAGGAAGAGAACCCGGACTCTGACTGTGTAGGAGTAGAGAGCCTAAGCGAGGAGAGTAGCAAACGATGCCAAGGCGTGGAAGCGGCTAGTGGGGAAACAGCGGAAAAAGGCGCAGGTGCCGAAGGCAGAGCTAGCCAAGAAGATGGCAAGAGAAGAGAAGAGAAAGCTAATTCTGAGGAATCCCCTGCTACTAAAGAGTCCTCAAGCAGTGAGGGCGGTGATCAGAAAAAGAGGTTTGTTTTTTCTCCGTTCTAGACCAGATGCTATCTTTTTTTTTCCATTGGTCATTAAGTGATGCGCATAAGCTGTTTCCTTCAATTGGCCACCACGACTGATGAAATTGTAGCCTATTCCTAAAGAATCTGTTGTATTTCTCCTTGCACAGATCTTTAGTAAACACCGAGGGGTTGATTTCTTTCCTTCCTCAACCTTCAAAGGTTGTTCTCTTAAATTACTCTTTATTTTTATGCTTCCAAATAAAAGTCTTTTTAAGAATCTGACTTCCCTTATATCTTGTCAGATTTCTTAAATCAAGTATACAAAGGTGTGTTTTTGTTTGCAAACCTTTTTCTGGTAGGTATTTAATTTTAGCATTTTCATAATTTATAGTTGGTCGTTTTTCTTTCTGACTTGAATAACATGCTCTTTTGTCTTTAGCCCTGTTGAGGATGCAGATGCAAAGATGATCTCAAAAGATGAGAAAGGTATGTTTATTTTTAAAAATAARTATTACAAATCTTAAGTTTTTTTGTGCTAGATGATGTGTTTTAGAAGCAAAGTTTTCCCTGGTTTTATTCTAGTACATTTCTTGGAAAAAGAGAAATCAACTGGGTAATCATTGAAATCATGGAAAAGCTGGTTGGACGTGCTTGTCACGGTTGAGTTTATGGATGTGAGCCTAAGTCAATCATTCACCGCCCTTTGCCAGCTACTAGCTCCAATTCTCTTTCTCTCAAGCACCAGAGATATCTAGAAGATGAGCAACCTTCTTGTACTACCTAAGAAGTAATTTTGCTTTAGAGATTTGTGTGCCAGTGTTTGAGTTCATCCTGAATTCTTACTTATCACTAGGCCTTGATATAAAAAAAAACCCTAGCTCAGCTGTCAGATTGGGAGTTCTGCTGTTCTTATGTAGTTAAATGAAACCAGGACTTTCCTSGCTCCCACTGAAGTGATGGGCAAATTATTAGTACCTGAGTTAGAATCTGTGTGAGCTGAAATAGAGAGAGAGTTTTTCCTGCTTTCTTAACGATAAATGTCATTCCTTGAGARTTATGGTTAATCTGCATTTCATCACCATCCTTCTGGAGTCCTGGAGGGTAGGACACAAGGGTACTGACACTGTCTGCAGACCCTGCACATCTTCAGCCTTTTCTTATGAGTGCAGAGGTATTTGGATCTATTCAGACCAATTCTAAAGAGCCAACCAAACTATTTGAGTTAAGGCATCCCTGAAGAATGGCATAACATATTTCTGTAGCACCTATCAAAGATTGAAGATTCTTCTTTTAAAAAAGATGGACTTCAGTACTAATTGCCTTTAGGAATATGAAACACTTGAATTTTGTTTTGTTTCTTACTAGGTCATAGTGCTAACAGTTCTAATAGAAACTTTTGGGTGAGTGGACTTGCCTCCACTACCAGAGCTACAGATTTGAAGAACCTGTTCAGTAAATATGGGAAGGTAAGCCTTGACTCGCCTACCTCTTGAGAAGCTGAATGATCTAATTTAATAGATAGGTGCCAGAATTAGTTACTTTTCATGTACTGAGATAATTACTGAGTATTTTTCCAAAAACCATAAGACATATTTACAGATGACTTTATCAGCGGGTTGTATTTGGAGAAGGCTGTATGTGCTAGCAATGGATTACCACATATTTAACTAAAGAAATACCGTATTTATGAAGTACAACTATTTAAAATATGAAGCTTCTGTGAAATTGATTAATAGAAAATAAACTGTATTAAATCTATCTACATAAGTAAGCATCATTTAGGAAAAGACTTAGATAATTTATATGAGACTTTTGGAGCTAGGAATAAAGCGGATGAGAACCGGAGCTTGCACTTTTTGCTGTGAAATAGTGGTCATTACAATGAGGTTAATGCATTTTTCTTTTGTAAAGGTGGTGGGTGCAAAAGTGGTCACCAATGCTCGCAGTCCTGGGGCTCGCTGTTACGGTTTCGTTACGATGTCAACAGCTGAGGAAGCATCAAAATGTATTACCCATCTCCACAAAACAGAGTTACACGGGAAAATAATTTCCGTTGAAAAAGTGAGTAGTTCCTCAAAGATCTCTCTGCAGCATTAGATTGTACAAACAATTGAGACCAAGTTCTCAGATGCTGATGTGACAAATAAATTTCAGGCAAAAAATGAACCTACTGGGAGGAAGCCCATTGAAAAAAAAGAGGGTGACATGAAGAAAGAAGCRGCCAGTGAGAGGTACTGTTACCCAGATTCTTTGTAGATGTTTTGCTGTTGTTCAGTTTAGGTTGATTTGTCAGGAAAAACAAAGTTATGTTAAGAAATCTCAGCAGTAAATATGAAAAGACTTCATCTGTTCATCTTTCCAACTTTTACTGCGAGACATCACAGAATGCACACAGAACATATATACAGAATATATCACAGAAGATAATGCTGCTGTTGATGTTCATTCCCTCACTTTTATCTTTCCCTTAGGTACTTTAAGCTAGTCAATGGAATCTTGCATTTTGAAGCACGCCTTTTAATTTAGCTGCATTTGGTTTTCAGAAGAGATTATGGTGCTCTGTTGCCTTAAATTTATAGAAAAGCCAATCTGAGGATTTTTGATCAGTGTGTCACTGTTTCTTCTTTAGATCCTGTTCATGAGAACAGGAATTTCTGATGCTGATGCCAGCACAGTTCAACAGTCAGTTTTCCAAGATCCCTTTCCCGGAACGTGCTATTCTATAGCACTACAGKTTTTTTTTCCCCACTAGAGTATTAAAGAGGCTGAAAGACATAAAATCCTTTGCTTTAATTATTTGCTTATATAATAAATTCTGTCATTAGGATTCGTTTAGCACATTGGAACTCTACTTTGTTATTGTATTGCTAGCGTTTTTTCTCCTTTGTTTTTCTTTTCTCTTTCTCTATATTACTTTAATCTGGGTCAATATCTATCTATAGAGCTGGCAGTGTTAAAAGGGATGAGAAATCTGACCAAAAAGATGATTCTAAAAAAACAGAAGACAAAGATGAAAAAGAAAGAAAAGATAAAGATGAACTGAAGCCTGGTTCATCAGATCAGCCTAAAACTACCAAATCAGGTAATTTGGCCACTGTTTTTCTCTATTTCTTTTTCTCTGTTTCTCTTTTCAAAATGTAAAAGACGCAGATAAATGCGATCAGTTGGTAGCAGTTAGTTATTTTCAGATTGCTGGTTTGGGGAATGTTTTGAGGTTCTTGGGTGAAAATCTAAATAGTGAAATTTGCAGGGGTAGGGAGGGTAACATTATTTCATTTTGAACGCAAGTATTTGGAATAATAAAATTATTTTTGCAGAGAGAATTTAAGTGCCTGATTCGCATCTCAGAGTTTATGACTTCCACCACTGAAAGGAATGGCCTGTGTAACAGAGTTCTTTTCCTTCCCTCTGCCCTCTTTCCTTCCAACCTCAAATTTATTTAGGAAGTAAAGGAACAGAGAGAACAGTAGTAATGGATAAATCTAAAGGAGAACCTGTGATTAGTGTGAAAACATCAACTACGTCAAAAGACAGAGTAAGTAATGTTTCTGCAGAGGAACATATACAGAAGCTTTTCTTAGAAACAGATATTAAATCCTGCTGTTTGTCTGATGGGAGTTTCTATAATATGGATTGATGAGATCAGAATTAATAAACTACTTTTCATGTGGTTGATACCGTATTCAGCAATGAAATCCAGCCAAATTAAATGAGGGCATCTAAGTCTTCTGTGTTAGTCTATGATGTTTCTGCCATGTGAAAAAAGCTTTGGCACATACGTATGGATGGAAATACTTCTTAGAGCATCATTTGTTACCGTTTTCCTTTCGTAAATGTACTCCCTTAAGTTTTTCTATTTCAATATTAAATACAGAGCGTTAAGAGTCAGGATCGCAAATCAGAGAGCAGAGAGAGACAAGGCATTGTGCCGTTTGACAAAATCAAAGCACAACGGAAAATGAGAGAGGCAGAACAGCGCCGGTAAGAGCAACAGTGAAATTGCTTGTTTGGTTCCTTTTGTTCTTTTTTTCCTTTTCTTTTTCACTCCTAGAGTGAGGATAATTTTCTTGTCAGTGATTAAGAAATGAACAGTTTTCTACTTTGTCTTCCATTCATAATTAGCTATATGTTTGTGGATCATCTGCCTATTGGACTGGAAAGGCACGGATTGTTTGCACTATTGTTTTGAATATTAAGCCTGAAATTCTTTGGTCTTTTTTTCCATTTTGTACATGTTGGGATTTAGTGTGGTTAAATATGCTGCTATCCTTAGCAGAGAGTCCATTTGAGTAGAGAAATAATCATTACGACCTCCCTGCACTCAAATATACTTGGAAAAGTGCCAGGAGAAGGGTTCTCTTTCTCAAAGCAAGACCTGGCCTAGTTACATTCAAAGTCTCCATGGCATTTGAAATAAAACAAGGTCAAGATTTTTATATTTGCATCTGTGGATAAATTGTGGGATTTTTCAACAACTGCTCAAAGTTTCCACTTAGGTTTTTAACTAAAAGGATTCAAGTAATTAACTAAAACTGGGGATATTTTTTCCCCTTTTCATGGTGTTTAATAGGAGATAGAGGTGATAGTGGCGATGCTGCACATTCCTTGCTAAAGCTATGATCTGAATTCCATGCTGAGGCGTTTTCCAGTCATTGCAGAACTTTGCAGCTTATCTAAGGAAAGCTGAATTGGACAGAGGAAATGGAGAAAGGAAAGCTTACCTATCCAAATAGATTTCTGAGCTGTAGTGGAGCCCCTTTCCCCGCTTTTGCCTTTCTTGCTTCCGTAGAGTTTGAAGTTCGATTTGAATAGAAGGCAATAGCTTGAGACATTTGATTTCAAATTCTCATAGCTGCACAGGGTGATTTTTCCCCACATATGGATACTTAGGGAGCAATACATCCCATTCCAAATAAAGTAATTCGTGTGTATGTTAAGTGTCTGCCCTTTCTGCTTCCCTCCTCTACATCAAACTTAAATGAATTGACCCAACTTTGCATTTATTGTGAGTTTAATCTCCCTTTCCATTAAACTTAATGTATTTGTGGAAATACTACATCTGTACCCATTCTTTTCTGTTGAAATAGCACACGTGAGCGTCGGGAAAGACAGCAGCACCTGCAGACTATCCGGGAACGAGAAGAAAGGGAGAGGCTCGAGATTGCTCGTGAGAGACTGGAAATTGAAAGGCAGCGTCTGGAGCGGGAGCGAATGGAGAGGGAGAGACTGGAGAGAGAAAGAATGCACATAGAGCAYGAAAGGAGGAGGGAGCAGGACCGCATTCAGAGAGAGCGCGAGGAGCTGCGGCGCCAGCACGAGCAGCTGCGCTACGAGCAGGAACGGCGCTCGGCAATGAGAAGGCCGTATGACATAGATGGCAGGTAGAGCGAGCACGTACAGGTGGAAATCGTGTTGCTGCTAGGGGCTGTCAGCTGCGTTATGAAAAGTTGCCTTTCTCCTCCCGTATTCTCTCAGCTTCCAGTATTCTGCAGTGGTCAGTTGCGTTGGGATGGCCACATTTAATAATCCCAACAATCCACATCCACCTCACTGAATTTGCCCCTTTTTGAACTAYGTGCTTCTGTCTTGCATGGTTTGGAGGGAGAGAACAATTTCAAAATTCACTGTCTTGACTAAAATGATGAAATAATGATCTCTCTCTTAGGAGAGATGACCCATACTGGCCAGAAGCAAAACGTATGTCAATGAATGATAGATACCACTCAGATTTCAGTCGCCAGGATCGCTTCCATGACTTCGATCATCGGGATCGTGGCCGGTACCAAGACCATTCAATAGACAGGTTGGTGTTACACCTTCACTGTGCTGCCCAAAGGCAAAAATGTATTTAATGTTGTGTTCTGCTGTCTTTTCTGTACTGTTTGTCTTTTGAAATCCTATATAACTTTGTATTTCCAAAGAGATCTGTACTATCCTATGAGTTAAACCTTTCACCTGAACCTGCTTGTTCAGGTTGTTCCGCTTGTGATGCTGCTTCAAACTTTTCTTGGTAGCATTCTGGAAAAAAATAACTAATGCTTTAGATGCCTCGCATTTTTTCACCAGGAACCTGTCTAAACTGAGAATATTGTTTTATACTTTAGGATTTAGTGTGTTTTCCTGCAAGCTCAAGTGTGTCATAGCTTCCATATATTCCAGCTGTTTGTTAGCATTACATGGAAGCAGGATTTTCTGTCTGAGAGTCTTGCACTAATTGGGTTGTTATAGACTGCTGTRTATTTTGCTAATGGAATAACAGAATCTCATTTGACTTGGCTGTTTGCAGGAGAGATGGATCGAGAACAATGATGGGAGATCGGGATGGACAAGTGAGTTGCTTTTAGAGACTTGCTTTAGAAAACTAAAAAATGTCTCTCTCCATTATAAACATATTTCAGGTTTTTTTCAATTTCAACCCATTCTTGTTAAAAAAAACCCGTAACCACTAAATTATGCAGATTGAAATACATATCCTTTATAAGAATATTGTCCTTTTTTGTAGGTGAGGATGAGATATAGTTTGAATATTTGTTGATGATGAAAATCAGAGAGAGTTATTTTGACATGCTGTAAATGAAACAAGCACAGCATGCCAAAAGAGATAGAATAATTGCAAATAGTTATGGGGAAAACGCAGCTGTACAAAATACCCAGGGAGGTGAATACACAGGTCTCAGAGGAGGCCTCRCCCTACTAGGTCATTTGGAAATAATGGCAAAATTGATCAAGAAGTCGGCAGTTCCTTGAGTGGGTGGGAGGAAAAGGGGAAGACTTTGGGGGCAGAGGGAAGCAGAGAGAGGGGTTTCTGTGAAGTCTTGGAATCCTCARATGTTGATGGCTGCGCTCTGAGGTTGGAGGAATTGCAGCTACGTTGCTTCTAACCATTACGGAGTCAGAGCTGGRCATTTCTAAAACATTCCTTGTCTTTTAGCATTATCCAGATGAGCGTCACGGAGGGCCAGACCGGCATTCAAGGGATTCTCGGGAGAGCTGGGGAGGCTACGGATCTGACAGAAGGATGAGTGAAAGCAGAGGGATCCCCCCCCAGTCCCGGTTAGTGGGCATGGGAATGGTTTGGGCTTTTTGTTGTTCTCTTATCTACCTGGTGAATATTTTTACCTGTAAAGGTTGGATTTTGAGAGCACAGTTTTACTTTATCCAAGTTTTAAACCCCTGAGTCTGTTCTTGGATGGACAACGAATGAGTATTTCCTTAAATTACCTTTGTATCCAAATGGCACGGTATTTTACTTCAAATAGGATGATTTTGCATCAAAATGGCATCCTGGCTTGATTTTTTTAAACAACATCAGATCTGAAAAGTTMTCATGGTTTCAATTAACTTTTGCTTATGTTTCTGTTAAGGCTTCACATTTTCATGGTAGTCTTTATGGTTTGTAATTTGTWTTTATTGGCAGGACCATCCTATCAACCTTTGAAAGGAAAATAAGTCAGTAAAAGTTCTGTGCTTTTTTAAATTCTCTAACTAAACTGGCCTACAAAATACAACAAAAGTAATGTGATGGTCAAAACAGCAAAATAAGGCAAGAAAGAGTCTGAGGCATCAAAATAGGTTGAAGTGGGTTAAGAATATCCTGTTTCCTTGTGTACCMGGGCAGGGGGATTGTGTAGATAGCCAGTTACTAAGACTTGATTAACATGATGTCCAAAATAAATACAGGATAGGTGTACATCTTGGTGAAAACTTTGAATCTGTTTGTGACTGTGGTGGTCTATTTTGTATGCTYCAGAGCATAAAGTGACACGGATTTAATACCTTTGCAGGGATGGACGTGACTGGGGAGATCACGGTCGAAAGTTTGAAGGACATCAGGATCGTTCCTGGCAAAGCAATGTGGATGGAGGAATGATAGGACGGGATCACGAAAGGTGGCAAGGTATGCTTGTGCACGGGAGCTCCCTGAGTATGCCACCTGTAGCTGAAATTACAGGCATTATTCGTCTTGGGAGAGAAATTGAGGTTGTTCCTGTGGCTCTAAAGGAAGCGTTTGAACTCTTGTAGGTGGAGGTAGAGGCAGACCCGGCCACGTGATGCATCGTGGAGGCATGTCGGGGTAAGAACGTTCTGAGGAACAGAGCACTCCTCGTTCCAACTTCCCTTCCCCTTACAGGACATCTCTTATACTGAAATTATCAAAAAAAAAAAAGATGCGTTTTTTTTCTTTTTCTACCTGATTTGTTATTTGGATGCCAGGGAATTAAAAAATATTCCCATGCTTTTTATCTATTGTATCTTATTCAAAAGATTGAAAAATTATGCAGGAGGGGTAAAACCTGCATTTTTCAGCCTAACAGCTGAAGTCACAAGAGAGAATTAAAATACTGAATCTCTCTCTTTTTTTTCCCCTCTTTCTCCCCTCTCCCCCTGCTTTTAGGCGGGGAGGTTTCATGCAAGGTGGCAACCAAAGCCAGATGATGCATGGCGGAATGCAAGGAGAAGGATTTGCTGGCCAAGAGAGAGCAAACAGACCCAATGATCCACGTTTCAACCGTCGCTACTGAATGTGTTTTAATTTTTAATGCAAGATGGCAACAGAAACAAATCTGTTACCCAGGGTTACCATTAATCGTAACTTACGGGTTACTTTAAGTGTAATTTTTTTAAGCTGCTGCCATATTATATATCCTTAAGCCAATGTGAACTCATTTGTTTTGTAATGTGTTGTTCATATCCCATTTAAAAATGTTTGTTAATGAAGCATTCCATTTTCCATTAATAAAAACAGTTTACAGTTAATTGCTTTGTTTCAGAAGTCACTGAGAGGGGAGCTCGGGAAACCTCCACCTTGGGCTGCCTCAGCTATATGTTAAACCATATAACATTTTTTTTGTTTGCTTTACAGCTCTCCCCTTGTGTGTTCAGTAGGAGCTCCCTGAACTACMCCTGACATATTTTGTTACTTTATAAATCTTAAAATTAATCTACAAATTCATGCAAGAATTTTAGTTGACTGCAAATGTCAGYTTGAACAGCCTGTTGCTGCAAAATAGGATTTACGATCCTGGAGGACAGGGAATTTGCACTATTTGAGGAGCCTAAAGAAGTCTGTGACCCTGACCACTGCAGGGATGACAACCTACCTGCTTCTTACGCACAAGAAGGGTAGTTTTTCAGCTGGGGAGAAAACAGTTCCAATAGAATTCTTTTGACCTACGAGAATTCTCAACCTACATTCACATTCTTGTGATGTTTTTTCCCTTTATGTCTCCTTATTTTTGATTACTGCATCTGAAAATCAGATTTAAGTAAGGATAAAGAGATTCTTGCCTCTAGCTTTTTATTTATTTATTTATTTAAACTGCACCTGCTTCTTATCCACCTAGATGGCCCCACTGAGCACACAGGATTCTAAAAATGGTGATGGTCACTTAACCAGCGGCAGAACAGGCAGCGGTTTCSTGTAGCTCTTGTTAGCGTTCTGCATCACAGGATTATAAAAACGTCCTGCTGTTTTGCCATTAGTAAGTACTGCAACTAGCACTAGCAATTCCCATTTCTGAGGCAAGGTCACAGACAATTGGAAAGCAGCTTTTATATAAATAAKGTTCTCTTTGCCCAAAAGATCACTGTTGTGTTGGTGTCTTTGAATTTGTTAATTCTTTTAGATTTGTTTTGAATTACAACATTCACCTTCAAGATCAATTCAGATACAGAAACACCTGTTTGGATGGCAAATTTGGAAGTTTTCAAACCGGGATTATATAGAATATATAGTACAGAATCACTAATCACTAGAATGGTACAAAAAAATAACTGTAGCCTGTGAGCTAAAATCAACCCAAATACAAAGAGAAGGTCCAAAGTCTTTTATTGTAGCCCTTGCATGGTCGAGCTGCCCTCTCACAGTCTATGCAGCATCCTCAAGGCAAGAGAGCACGAGGACAGCCGTGAAACCTGGAAAATGTTCATTTGAGAAGCTCCTTCACGTACTTCCAGCCTTCCACGGTGTATTCACAGGCCTTGGTGGGAGCTACAGACAGGGCAGACATGACTGTCTGCACTCCTGCAAGGAGAGCAGAGCACAGTTAGCCCAGGGGCATCGTTCAAGCCAAAGTTAATAACGGGACTCTAGCAGCAGGGATCTCTTTAAATTCAGCCAGAAAACTGAGCTTTATTTCAGCAGCTTTCAAAAACACTGAGGCCTGAACAATCCTTAAATTTTACTGTCTCGACAGACCCTAAACCACAGGAATTCTAACTTCATGATCAGCACAAGGGATAGAGAATTACAAGATTAAAACAACTGCAACTTGTCTTCAGTTTCTTTTTATTCYTGGCCCTGCCACAGACTCTGTGGATGGTTTTGGACAAGTCCCAGCATGGACTGTGTTTCCCCTCATTTACATGACRTCAATTTGTTGTACCACACAAATTCTGAATTAACTTACTAGGCATTTATAACATCCCTGGTCCTTCAAGCAGGTTCTCTATAAAGCTAGCAGCAATAAGAACACTCATCCCTTCTGAAAAGATCAGAACTTGATTTCAGATATACTAATACCATTAGGACTTATACACGCTTTAACCTTCACCTAAAGGCTGGGTGTTTTCACAAGTGATTGTTTCTTTATTTTTTAAATCCCTCTGGTTTTCYCATTCAGTATCTTCACTAATGAATTACCCTATTGGTGCATAAGCTGTATCTATGTAATTCCTTGGCCCCAGCCCAATGCTTCTTTCACCAGATCAGAGCATCTACTGGCCCTGCTTCACTATTGAGTTTATGAGGACAGTATCAAAGCAAGACTTGAGGTTAATATCATTTTCACCCCTTGCTCCATTTCACAATTTACTGAGAAATTATTTTACCTTTATTCCAGGAGTTAGAGGGAGAAAAGTCAAATTTTGGAGTGGGTGGAAGCTACAAAAGAAACAGAGACAAAACTATCAATTATAACACAATCCACCTTGGAGAAGCCTCTTAGATCTCAAAGAGGTGTCTAGCCTTCCTAAGCTCCAAAAGGGTCAGACGTGGCTTAAAGTCTCGTCTTTACCTATTACACAGAACAAGGTAGTGGCTGAAGGCACCATTCATCCCTYGGGTGCTCTTGAAAAAACATCCTTGCAACTTCCTGAGTTGTCCTAAAAACTGCATATTAATCCACGATGGTCTGCACCATGGAAAGCATTTCTCAAACCTTCAAACRCTCCTATTCTCTTCCTATTCTGAGGATTCTTAAAACTAAGGATTACTCAAAGATAAGGGACTATTCAGTAATTTGTATTCAGCTTGACTGTTAGGAGCTTTGTAAAGCAGTTCTTTAAGGAAGAGAATCTTTTCATTAATTTCTGAAAAGCTCGTAGATATTCTGGYAAATTCTCCAGCACTACCTGTGTAGTGTCTACACCACTGCTAGGTAGTGTCACCAGTACACAGTGTCACCACTACACAGTGACACATCTCTGGATGGGCTTTCTACCTCTTCTTTCAAACAAGCTCTATGACCAATTGCTCTCACCTAGGTTTAAAACCTGTTTCTTCCTCCGTTTCAATCCTTAAAACATCCCCAGTGCAAACTCCAGACTGAACAGCAACCCCCCTGTCAACACCATTAAAAGCAGACTATTTTTCCCGGTGCTTTCAGCGCAGGTTTGCGGACTCGAGGAGCCCGCCCAGCCCTCACCTCCCAGCCCACGTAACTCGTCCATTCCTGCACGGCGGGTGGAAGAGCTTCCTGGGCTTTCCGGAGGGCTTCGGCACCTTGCGCCCCGCTGCCCAGCAGCCCCTGGTCGTAGGCCATGTAGACGGCGGCTCCGGCCAGGCTCCCCTTGAGCACGAACCTGAAAGAGGCAAAAGCAGAAGCCGCTCAGCTCCTATCACACATATGGCTCAGTTCATACCGCGCATATCGGGGTGCCTTGCCCAGGAAAAGTTGCCTTTTCCAGCTCTCACACTCAAAAAAGCAGCATTTGCATCTACAGAGCAGGCGGAAGGTCGCAAATGTTTTATTGCAATGTCTTATTACTGCCGAAAAATAAAGCCAGGAGGAAGGCATCTAGCCAGGCTCCCTTTCTGGATGGGTATTTCCTATCGGCCACTCTCCACCACAACCAAGTTCGCGTATAATCCGGGGTACTTTTGAAGAGAAAAGAAACGTGAACGGATCAAAATGTGCCGCTTGGAAAAGCTGGAAAACCGTGACAAGAACTCTTAAAAAATGGGAATAAGGAATTTAACCGTAGTAACTACTCAGACCAACTTGCCAGAGGCCAGACTTGCCAGACAATCTCTTCTTAGGCCCCTCAGAGCCCCGTTAACATCAACCGGCACCGGCTCYTGCCCTTAACGGGTTCCCCGCAGCCCCACGGCGCGCACACCGGCACCGCTCCACGAGCGGCGGGGAGCATCTGAGCGCGTTTGTTTATCTCACTCTAGGTGAGGGCCGGCTTTGCGGGACAACCACGGGCAGCGCTGGAGGCGAATGCGGGGGGCTCGTCCGGAACGGAGGCCGCTCCGTCGCTCCGGTCCCGCCGGGACGGGCCGAGGGCCCCGCGGTCCTTCCCGCGGCCCCGCGGCGCAGCCCGCGGCCCGGCCGAGCGCGAGGGCGGCCGCGCGGGGACTCACTTGACGACGGGCAGCAGGCGGGCGGCCATGACTCC